GCCAATTATAATTTAGGGACGAAAAGTGAGCATGACCAACAGTCAAGGATGAATTCTACAATTACTCTATAACTCAGGGACGAAAAGTGCAACGTCATTGATAACTTAGGGACGAAAAGTGCAACGCCATTAATAACTTAGGGACGAAAAGTGAGCATGAGCAACATTCAGGGACGAATTCTACAATTACCCTATAACTTAGGGACGAAAAGTGTAATTTTTCCTTATTATTATTATTATTACACAAGTACATTTTAGTCTTTATATCATTTCTTTCATTCTCAATCTTAATAATTCCATTCCTCCCTAACAAACAACGTAATTTGAATTCTTACTTTATTCCAACCTTATTCTTTCTCACTGAATTACAATTCTTTTCCTCCCTAATTCCTTCTTTCCAATCAAACGTCCCGTAAAAATTTATTTAAATCGGTATTTATGTTAAAAGAAACAAGTCGAATCTCACTGTAAGAGTAGTGTAGATCTACCATACTATGTTACATTCCAAAAATGATAACTCTCCAATTTCACATGTCTAAAATCTCTATCCCAATAAAGAATCGAATCAACCGATGCACACATCTACCATGCATTCCAAACCTCTATCGCAACTTGATAAGGGTTGGAATCTTTGATAATTTTAAAGTAGAAATATTATTAAAAAGAGAGGAGAAAAAAAAAAAAAAAAAAACATTATATTGGCCTTAGGTTGACAACAATCTTAGCGATTGCTACACGTAAATTGATAATCACCTCTTATTGTGTTTCTTTAGAAGTCGATGGCGCAAAGACAAGAGGGCCACCACCTTTTTGAGGTTGGCATTGTTGTAAGGGGGCATAGTGGGCTCCAAATGTATCCAACGCTCTTTTTCTTTCAAAATTTGATTTTCTAAAATGAAGATGAAAGAAAAAGAATACTATGTCCAAGTTTACTCAAAAATTTAAAAAAAAAAAAATCCCGAAAGAGGTGATTGAGTGAGTGGAGTATGATTTTTATACTAGAAGGCTATAAATTCGATTGTTGCCTACACTTATTAAATCGAGTTGTGGTAATGATTATGGATTTTTCTTATCACCCAAATATTTACTATATTTATGTGATTTTTTTGTATAACTTTTAATGAATATTTCTAATATAATTAATGAATTTGTCCACCTCAATGAATTGAATTGAATTGATTATTAAATCGAGCTGTGATAATGACAAGGGTTAAATTAAATAACTCTAAAATGAATTGAATTGATTATCACATGACACGTACTATATTCTTACTCTCACTTTTTATTTCATTTTTCCTTCTACTAATTTGACTTGCTTGATTAAATTAAATTATTAAAAAAAAAAAAAAAAGTTGCCTCTACCTTTATTTCTTTCATTTTCTTCCCTAATAAAATTAAAACATATGGTAAGTATGTTATTCTCAGAGTACATATCATTTAATTTTTTTCTTCTCAATTAAATAGGGTCCGATAGGAGTAGGAGTGAAGCTTCTTTTTCTTTTTTTCCCCAGATTAGAGGAGAGGGAGGTAGACCCTAAAAAATCCCACTAGTAGCTAACTAGCTAATCCTTAAAACTATACGAGTTGGACGCATTATATTCCCATGCTATTGTCACCATTAAAGATAATCTAAAACTCTCTATCTCTGATGACGCTTGACCAGGTTCAGACCTCTCTCATGCGTTAAAACTTCATTTGCAAGGAATTGAAGTAGGTGTAATTAAACATCCAATTTTGGTAATGGTTTTGTAGAAACTACATACACTACTAAACCTCAAAATATAATTAATGTAAAGCTTTTTGTGTTTGAAGACACAAAACAAGTGTTACACAACAGTAGTTGAAGTTGGAAAGGGATGTAGAAATTAATATGGGACAAACCAAAATGGATGTATCCGATACAACTAGGAATGAAGTATATATGAATAACAAGGTTGTCAGAGAGTTGTGGGTTATTAAGACTGAATTAAAGTGTCCTACGACAATTCTTGCCTAGCGATGGGTAGTTGGGTTCCAACCTAATATATTGTCTGATTCTGTGTAATTCGGTGCAGGTAAACTGTGAAACATGACAGCGCGGTAACAATAAACATTGTTCAACTTAGGTTTTTTTTTGTATTCGACACCAGATTCTTAACTTTGATTCTTGAATCCTTTTCTTGCTTTGTTTGAGGGGATTCTATTACCTGTCTCGATGGGATTGGAATTCGATATGTTTTTTTTTTTTTTTTAAGAATGGATGTGGGAATGGAGAGAATTTTATTTTTTTTGGAAGGGTACAAAAAATATACCCGTATCACCACTTTGTTCCATTGTGAGATATAATTTACAGGGGAATTCTAATCGAGTCAGTGGGTCCACCAATTGATTTGATAATTACAAAGTTTAATTTCAAGCCTTCATTTAAGAGTTTTTTATTGGGTTTCTTGGTTTGAGCGGATCAGTTATAGGTAACGGCTTACTTCTTTATGGTCTTTTGTCAGCTAGCTAGAGTCATACGATGAGTTTCACCCAAGCTCACTTTCGAGTAGAGATTGAACTTTCTTATAAATCAAAGATGTAATTCACTTGTGTCTAAATAAAAAGAAGAATGAACTTATAAAGGTGAGATGACGTTTGTCTTTTCTTCTTTCTTGATCAGAAGTCTCAAGTTAATACAGTTAAATTAAAATTTATAAGCAAGGTTACTCTAGTGTGTGGTTCTAGGACGACTTTGATTGCATTAATTGTATAGTATAAAATGTTCTAATCCTTTCCAAGTATACATTATATATATTTAGGAAATAAGAATTTAAAAAAAAAAAAATCCGATTGCAAATAGTATAATGGGCCGCATGTACAAATTGGAGCCCAATTTTGTATGGGTCGTTGTCCGGGCTCTGAGAGTGAGCTATTTCTATGCCGCAGGGACTAACAGGAGTAGTTATGCTGTGCATCCGGATGCAAAAACGACGTCGTTTTATTAAAAACATGCGTCTTTCCTTAAAAAAAAAAAAATTCAGGTTCGATTCCAGCAACAGCATTATGTTGTTCATTCATTCTGGAATTTTAGTTCATAGATTATAGAATTTTAATTCATTGATTCTGGAATTATAGTTCATCGATTCTGGAATTTTAGTTCATAGATTCTGGAATTTTAGTTCATTCATTCTGGAATTTTTAGTTCATAGATTAGATTCTGGAATTTTAGTTCATAGATTCTGGAATTATAGTTCATCGATTATGGAATTATAGTTCATCGATTCTAGAATTTTAGTTCATATGTTGTTGCTGGAAATCGAACCTGAATTTTTTTTTTTAAGCGGATACACACGTTTTTAATAAAACGACATCGTTTTTGCATCCGTATGCACCATGCATGGTGCATACGGATGCACAGCATAATTTGCCGACTAACAGTAACAGAGACCAAATTTAGGTCCAATATACATCAAAACATGTTTGATTTTCATACTCGTTATTTGCCTCAAGTTAGTCACTTGTCTAGCAATCTGTCCCTTAACTGATTGAATCCCTCACTCCAATCCTTACAACAATTGGAACTTTCCTGTGCACGAATGGCGGCCTGCAATTCCCCAATTCAACAACAAAAAAAAACATCATATATGCATTCTATGTTGTTTTATGTTCTTTAATTTGTTTGCCTATTGGCACATAAACCAAAGGAAACTAACATATATACCACGAGGAGATTCGGATAGATTCCCTCCCTCAACACTTTCATATATTTTATTTTTAATAAAACTTACATGGACTCTAAATCAGTATAAACCGGCGCCATGTCATCAGATAACCTGAAAAATTTATAAAAAATTTTAGGCGAAAAAAAAATTAATGGTTTGTGGATCTAAATATACATTTTGAAAAATCAGGGTGCGGCATGAATAATCATGAATGGTTCATGGTGCGGGATGACACTTTAACCATAATAAAATGAAAAAATACAAAAAGATCTATAATTCACTTATAATGTTAGAACCAATATGGTTGGTGTGGTAGCTCAGTCCATCCACACCCATGTGAGCATAGGCGGACCACAATGGGGGAAGTGGGGGCTGCTGCCCCACTGCCCTTCTCCATGTAAATGGTATATATATTAAACATATAAACATTTAAACAAAGTTGGGTTTGGTTGAGATGGTAAGGTCATTATTTGACTTCAAATACTTCAAATATGAGTGAAAGGTTAGTAGTTTGAAACTTAGAGGCGTTTAGTTGCCAAAATATTGCCATTTGTTTTTCACTCTTTTTAATTCATTTTACCTTTGTTTTTTCGCCCCCACTTGACATAAATCCTGAGTCCGTCACTGTATGTGAATGGAGCAAACCATTTGGCCAGTCTCCTACTACTTAGTGTGCTGACAGTTGGACAACATAAGCTGATTACGGACTAAAGTCAACTTCACCCAAACAATTAATAATTAATAATAATAATTAATTAATTAATTAATAATAATAATAATAATAATAATAATTATTATTATTATTATTATTATTATTATTATTATAAAATGAAAAAATACAAAATGATCTATAATTGACTTATAATATTAGGAGTAAAAAAGAAAAAATGAAAAAGAATATTAATCTAGATAAAAATTAATAATTTTTTAGTCGATGGCACATTTTGTCCACTTGTGAGATCTAAATGGAGCTTTATAAGGAGCACAAATGTACTATTCTAACTACTTCAATAACTTAACTTATTTGACACTTAACACCAAACAAATCTATATAATTACTTCATTAATTTTCTTTGTTTGAGTCAATCAGGTGTAGACAACATAAGCTGATTACCGACTAAAGTCACAAGGTGAACTTCACCCAACTTTGTTCCGTGAGGTCTAAGTAGTAACTAGTAACTGTGGGTTTTCGAGTAAATTCAACATCAGCAAATTTGTTTTTAAAAAAATAATGAAAGTCCTTTATATATATCCCTTTGTTAAATAAAGATCACAATTTAAGATGGTAGCACCAGTAGAGTGGGGGACCCCAAAAAATAGACACAAAAAATCATATACACCCATTTAAACAAAAACTTCATACAGTAATCAGAGAGCATCATCCTCTGAGATGAAACACAACAATCAGAACGGCTACAGTTTTGGAATTTCTAGCAGAATGAGATATATATGTTTCACCAACATTTTCAGATCCAAGAAGGAAAAAAAATAAAAAAAAATTCACAAAGATCCCTGAACTTACTAGTTTTCAGTATGCCTCCAAGCTCAAATGTATGATATCAAGCCTCATGTCTTGAAATTCCACAGCAACTCTTGTATGAACCAAGGCCGGGTTGAGAAGGGGTCTCTACTTTTATCTACAGGACTTCTTCAGTTGAGCTTCTGTGTTTTCATGTTTTATTGTATGAACTGTTAAAAGAGCACCATGGTGTTAAGCCTGCAAGATGCAAGCTCTTTAACTCCCGCTTTTTCCTTTTGATGAGAAGAATCTGCTGAACCCTCGGGAGTGCTTCTCGGGTGTCTGGGCAGAAGCTGGGTAAGGAATACTCGACCTTGTAGGCCGGTGTTTTGAGCTGACAGGTGACCTCATTGGGTTGTTTGATTCAGAGTCTGAGGGGCTAAAACGAGCTTCGTATAGTTCCATTTGAGACTCTAGGTTCAGCTTCCGATTGGGAGAAGCAGCAGTGTCTATCTTAGTCAGATCAGCATCATGCAAGCTCAACCCGCTTATAGTTGGTTCTTCGTTCAAGCCTTCCCCTTTCTGACTTCTCGGGCTCTGTGGGGAGCCTATGAACTCTGCCTGAGGACGCAAAGAGTTCAACTGCTTCCCGAGAAGAAATATTGTTTCTTGACATTCTGCAAGCTTTTCTGCTGCAGCTGCTAACTCTTTCTCCTGTAATAAGATGGCATTCGGTATTGTTTACAAGGAGCCTAAAAATTGATTTGTAAAGAGTGTCTGGACTGAATCCAGGCGAATAAGGACCATAGAGATCATAACAGATGAAAGGCAATAAGGAAATGGAAGGTGGGTTTTTTACCTGGGCTTTCTTTGCATCAATCTCAGCTTTTGAACTTTCAATCCTGATTCAAACACCATAGCGTAAATGAGAAAATTCTAAAACATGGATTACAATGCAACGAAGACTTTAAAGATATCAGATACTCACATTTCCAGTTGTTCTTGAAGATCCTTGCATCTGGCTAGAGCATCATGATGACCCTTTTTCTCTTCTTGAAGTTCAACACCCAGAGTTTCTATTTTCGCCTGAAGAACATTAACTTCGGCTTGTAAGTTCTCTGCACGTGTTTCAAGCGAATTATATGACTCCGCCATACATTTAAGCTGTGTCTCCGCCAAACTGTTTGACTTCTGAGCAGATATTAACTGGGACTTAATCTCTGCCAGTAACTGCTCGGTCTCAGCCAACTGGGATTTCGTGCTTTCTAGATTTTCAGTGCGTCTACCTAGGTCAACCATCAGATTTTCTTTCTCTAATTTCAAATTTTCAAACTCCTCAGACGAGCATTTCCATGACTCGGATGTAGGAACAAGACTTCCATCATGAGGAATATCGGGATCCGAGGCAGAATCGGACAAGCGGGCACAACCATTTGAGTATCCATCTACCATGTGCTGCTGACCTTTGTTCTCTGGTAAAGCAACCTTGTCTATGCAATCAGCGGAACTAATCTCCGTTTCAGAATTTTTGTAACCCAGAATATTGAAATGTAGTTCACTCGCTTTACTTAACACAAGAGAGAGGTCAAGAACAAATTTTACGAGGCTAACTTTGCTGCTTACAACTTCCATGTATGTTGCAGAGAACTCATCGAGCTTTTCATAGAGTCCATTTCCATCTATGGAGGTGCCCTGCACAGCCTTTGCTTCTTTGCCTATGAACATTACGAAGTCATGAATCTGACAGATAGCATCTGCCAATTCTTGGCTGATCTGAGAGACTGAAATATTATCATCACGTTTAGTTGAAGCATCAGAAGATGGCAAAGCCTCAACATCATTTGTTGCTGAATGGGGATTCGAAGTCTCGGACATTTCCTGCACAGTGCGTCTAATATCCTCCAAGACCTTTTGCATGTCAGCTTCGCTAGACATTGACTCAAATATCATTAAAATTTTGGACTGCAGTTTCATGAATGGTTGGTGATTAGGTTCTGATACTTCCTTGTTAGAAGATGCCTGAGTTTCTGGGGCTGAGGTATTCGTGTTCTTAACTTCAGATAAACCATCTGAACTTGAAACTCCCCGATTTGAATCATTTGAAAGATATGCTAATTTCTCCATCTCCAAGAAGTCATCCATAAGCTCCAGGTGACTTGCACTTTCAGACTTGTGTGGACTTTCAAAGATATTATCCTTCTTGATATGCGAGAGCTCAGGCATTGATGCTGCAGTCCAGGACTCGGCACAACTTATTGTATCGTCATTACCATCTTCAGACATGGAGGCCAAGCTTCGAAGGTTACTTGCATTCTGTCTGATATGCATATTGTGCTTCAAAGGACTTGTGTAATCGCCATTCACTTGCAGCATTGTCTCCAAACTTTGAAGTTTGCTCGCAGTCTTTGCACATGTACTCCTGGAGATTTGTAGTTCGCTGTTACGTTTTGCCAAAGCTTCTTTCAACATCTTTGTTTCCTCTTCCATTCCCAAAAGGCGCTCTGTTAGAAGCTCGTTTTCTTTTTGGTACTTGTGCATATGGTCAAATGAAAAATCGGGCATGGAATGGTGTGGGCTGCTAGGAGGCTTTCCTGGAGATTTCCTCAACCGAGTTTCTTCATAGTCACGACCTAAACTCTCGACCTCGAGCTTCATTTGAGCAAGCGCCGCAGGGCCAGGCAGCTTCTTTCGTACAAGACCACGTAGTCTTTGGACCTCTGCTTCAAGCTTAGCAATCTTTTTTACCCCTTCCAGTTGCTGTTTGTTTGCGACTTCTGCAGATCGGGCGCACATATTTTTTTCCTCGTTGCGAATTTCCACCTCCTTGGCAACAATATGAAGTTCATATTTTAGAGAATTTATCTCCTTCTCGCAAGATTCAATATTGCCCTTCAGATGTTCTATCTCTGCTTCGGCTTGTGATTTTTCCTCACTGAGCTTAACCAGCATGTTAGAACGCTCTTGCAAAGATCTCGAAAGTGCAGAATTTTCTGCAGCAGACCTGAGCAACTCTTGGTCCAAGTTAGACATCTTCGCTTCAAACTCAAGCTTCATCTTGTCAAACTGTTTCGTTTTATTAACAACCACATCGTGCAATTTTTGTTCATGCTCTTCCTTCAAGTTTCGTATCTGCCTCATGCACTCCTTTAGAGCACCATCCAAGTGCGATGCACGGTCTTCAGCGGTAAGCTTTAACAGCGTGACAGATTCCAGATGATTCTTCAGTGCTGCAGCTTCCGACTCGGCTTTTTCCCAACCTGTGTAGCAAAGAGGACAATTGAAGTTCTGAAATGGACAAGACAAACTTATTTAAGGAAACAAATTTATTCATCAAACCTGAGACGGCTTCCTCAGCAACTTTAGCATGCTGTTTCACCAGGTTGTCCTTATTAGTCATTTCATCTTCAGCTGCAGACAGTTTTTCATTTAAGTCCTTAACCTCATCCTCTAACACTTTAACCTGTTCCTCATAGGACTTCACTTGATCCTCCAGTCCCGTGAGATGTGAATACGACTCAACCGAAATTTGCACATATTTTGGTTTCTTGAAGTTTTCCTGCTTGCTCTGGATATAATGAAAGAGACACAATTTAATGAATCAAAGACAAAATTTCCAGAGCAAATACTAAAGGGGAAGAAGCTCTGATAAAGCAGACATCTCCTAGCTCAATGAAGAGATAGATACATTTCAGTAAAAATTGACCATTACATTCGAGCCTATCAAAGAACTCTACGGTAGATATTTACAGATACAAATGAGTGGAAATTTCATAGGAACTAACAAAGATATTACGGAGTAATAATTATGATATAGAAAAGAATATGCACACCTCATCACCCTGAGCGGCATTTGAATCTGTAGCTGAGTCCACTGTAGTTGCAGGAATTTTCTCAGCAGCTGATTTATCAGAAGATTTCTTCTTCCACGGCCAACTCCTCCGATCCATTATAATCTGGCATCACAGCAAGGCATAACAAAATGAGAAAAAAAAAAAAAAAAAAAAAAAAAGTCCAAAGAATCAAGAAGTCATTTTGTTGAACCTATAATTGTGCTTAAAGATACCCTATTTGGAATGTTTTGCTGGTTTAAAAAAGTAAATCAGTTGCAAGATATATATATATATATATATATATATATATATATATATATATATATATATATATATACACACACACACGCACGCACACATTTGTGTATATATATTATATGCAAGAATGAGAAAGAAATTATAGGATCAAGACACATTATACAGCCTGCAGTGCAATACTGTAAAATCTTGAGTAATTAACAGAATTGTGACAGGAAGTGCACGTTTCTACTACTCAAAAAGAACATTTCAATGACATTACTATTACTATAGTTAGTAATATGCTAAACCAAAAATCTTAAAAGCATTAATATTTATCTGCAGCATCACCTCTAAAGTAAACTCTATTCCATAAAATGAAATCAAACAAAACAAGCAAGAGAAGGTGGTGAATCAGAATTTTTAAGCATAAGAACAAACACGCTTTTTTAGTAAGCGGAAAAGAAGATCAACCTGTGACCCATGTTTTTGCCACTAGACTACAAGGTCTTTGGCACAAGTTAAAAGAAAAAAAAAAAAAAAAACACAAAATTTAAAGAGTTTTCAACCTTAGGTAGGTAATCAGAAAAACAAGTAATTCTGAGAAGTTTCAGCAAAATGCTTGTTACAGGGCAAAGTGGATTTAATGATCAAAGGGCCGTACTCAATATTTCTATCAAACAATTAGAGATAAGTTATACTTAAGCCATTTAAAATACTGAAATGGTAGATAAAGAAAATGACCGATCACCACACACATTAAAAATTCACCACGAATATCACATCCTAAAACTTAAAAGAAAGTACTCCCTAAAAATTTTATTTCCATTCCAAGGAATATAGACCACCAACATTCATCAGCACGATCTATGCCAAGATTTTATTCATTTAATTTTTCAATCTCTATAACCAAAATCCAGACCGAAAATCTAAAAAAAAAAGCAATCACAAGAACAATCTCCGGGAAAATAATGCAGACTTCCTGCAACTACAAACCCCAAAACCCAAAATCAAAAGCTTCATCGATACAATTTCACCAATGCAGAATTACCATTTACCACCCTGATTGTTTTTTTTTTTTAATCGGAGAGCAGAGTCAAAGGTGGAAAAATATTTACTGCAAAAAATTTTAACCCGAGCAAGCAAGGAAGATAGCAGCGGAGCTAAAAATTCAGAGAATCTGAGCTGAAACGAAACAAAAAACCACTGAAATCCGTAACCAAAGTGAAGAGCAATAGAGCATGAGAAGCACCGACATAAGAAGGTAGAGTAAGAGAAACGGCATGCCTTGCGAAGAGGATAAGCAAAATATCAGAAAGAGATCCAAATAAACCAAACACATAAAAAACGCAAACTGAAGCCATATTTAACGCCTCTCAGGCTCTCACACTGGCACCATCAAACCACCAGAAGTTACAGAGCCCGCAAAAAAAGGCAACCAAAGATAACAAATCTCTGAGAAAACAAAAACTCACCAGTCACAATGCAATGCAGCTCCCCGGCTAGATAGATACAGTTTACACAGAAAAAAAAAATGAGAACCGTCACTTCTACTCTTTTAACGGTTTAGATCTATTTATCAGCTCGAGCTTATCAATTCAGCTCTAGAGAGACAAGGATAGATGTAGGTTGCTCCTTTAGTCCGAGCTTTTAGAGAGAGAAACTGCGGCGGAGCACGGCGGAGGAGCGGCGGTGGAGCGATGGCGATAGTGCAGTGGGAGAGGTTAAAATTAAAAATAAAAATAATAAATATTCGGCGTTTGGTGTCACTTAAAAAGGGAAGACGTTGGAAAGCTCCAAAAACTTCACATTTTATAAATTTCATTCTGTAAATTTTATTACTCGTATTTTTATTTATTTTTTTTATAATATATACGGTGGAAATTGGGGAATTATAAAAAAATAAAAATAAAAAAGGTGGGAGAGTGAAAAGACGGAAATGTGCATGGGAAACGAGATATTTACGAAAAAGCAGCGCACCGCGCACGCTTGTGGCAGAAGGAAGGTGAGCTGGAGGCGATAACATGGACCACCGCCACTAATAGTCCACCCAGTCCAGCTCATACTTGTCCACACCTTTTACCTACGGAGACATGTACTATGATTTTTTTTTTTTCCTTAAAAAAAAATTGTTGTTAAAAAAATAAAATAAAATAAATTTGATCACCACCATATCTCAGAGACACCAATCAAACTATCCACTATGTGTCAAGTCTAAAAGTGATTAGATCCCATATATGCATGTTGTTGTGTTTGAGATCTGTTTTATTTTTGTTGTGAATATCAGTGTATAAGTATTTAGGAACATATAAATCAGTTGAATCATATATACTAATTGAGTGAATAAAGTATGATTCTCATATCTAAATGTCACGAGTTTAGTTATTATTAACACTCTCAATTTAATTTATTGCATATGATCTTTTTAATGCTATTTACTTAATTAATATTCACTAAATGTTGCATAAATTAAATATTTAAAAGTAATAAACAACGTTGTGTAAAATATAGATTTATAGAGGAAATTTGTTTTAGAATATTATATTGATGATGTTGTAATCTAGCTATTAATAGAAAATATGGGTCTTTGTTGAGTAATAACGAAGCAATGTGGTTTTATTTTATTAAGAAGATTAGATTATGGTTCTCTTTCATGATGAGCAAATTTAATTGTTAAATTTTGTTGTAAAAATTCGTAACTTATTTTGTAATATTACTTTAAGATTCATTTTGGATTTAATATATATATATATATATATATATATATATATATATATATATATATATATATATATATGAAGTTATTTTTATGATGTCATTTTCTCGGATTTTGTCGTGATAATATTCCTCCCCCTAAAATGAGGCAAAGTATCCTTATAAGATATTTTACCTTTACTGGTATAGAGATCACAAAAAATGTTATTTTTAGACAATAAAACTTTTTTTATTCAGTAGTTAATTAATACGCAAGTAACATAAATCTCGATAGTCAAATCTAACAGAAGTTTACCAATATGAGTTTAAATTATAGTGTCAGTTGCTACGCAAGTAACAGAGGTATCAATGACCAAATTTAATAAAAAGAGTGTAACTTTTGGTAAGTTGTATATATAATCAAATACTAAAAGTGAAAACTAGAAGGCCACCAATTATATATGTTGTAGTTGTTGCCTGCAAATTGCCATTATTTCTCATTAATTCTCAGTCGTATAAAAAAAATGGTATATGAAGTACAAGTCACGGCTGGCCACCGCATTCCACTTTGTATTCACCATTCTAATTAAGTTGTACAATTTACTCAAATAATTTGACTTTGTCAGCTATGCAGTAATTACACAACCACTATGACTGCGTTCCAGAAATTTGAACAGTAAAAATTGTACATATGCTCCATTATTAGATTATTAGTTGCTGTTGATATAACCTTTCAAACTTTCTAAAGCGTTTGGCCGGAAATGATGAATTATGGGCGAAATGAATTATAATTTGGTAAAAAAGAATAATAATGTGAGAATCAAGTAGAAATTCAAATTACATTGTTTAGTAGGAAGAAATAAAATTATTAGAAATGAGAAGGAAAAAAGTGATATAAATACTAAAATATCATTGTGTAATAATAATCAAGGGTAAAAAAATTTGGTCATTCCTTTTTCCCTTCCCTTTCTCCCATTGAATTACAATTCATATGAGAGACTGTATAAATTACAATTTTGTGGAATTGTCATTCCCTCCAATCAAACACTGTAATTTGTGTGACCAAAGAATTATGTTGTAATTGAATTGCAATTACATCCAAACAAATAGCCCTAACTACATTCCATTATTGTAACATTTACTTTCAAATATCTCAATTTTTCCGCTCTAAAAATTTATTAAAGCACACAAGATAATATTATATTTTAATAATCTTATTCAAACACTCAAGGTACTTTTACATTCACATAATCTCATATTATATTTCAAAAATTAATATCATATTATGTTAACTGAACATATAATATAGAGTTAAGTTAGAAACAAACACATAAACGACGTATACCCATACACACAATCGAGTAATAATTACAAATTTCTATATTTACTAAAAAAATAGAAAACCAGAAACAATAAATAAGTGGTCACGAAATGTCATAATTCTATTTTACCAAAGTATTAAAAGTTAATTTGTCTATGAATTGTGCGAAGTGAATTTAGAATTGGACAAGAGTTGGGCAAGTGAATAGAAGATATTTACGAGTTAGTAAAAGGTGAAAAACGAGGATGCATATATATATATATATATATATATATATATATATATATATATATATATATATATATATGTTGTTATCAAGGCATATATAGGAGGGAAGATCAAAGCTGGCTTTGAATTTGCATAGGAATAGGCAAACTGCAAACATCCTGGTTGGATACAGCAACGTTATCACTTATCACTCTCCCACACACATAAATGCAAAAACATGCCACTATAAAAAACAGTGTCCGTGCGCTGCTCTTTTCTAACAAACTTCAATTCATTCATTTCCTCTTCCTTCTCCACTTTTACTTTTACTTCTTACTTACCAACATCTACCACACAAGAACTAAAATTAAAATGTCTATTAGATCTAAATAATCTAATAATAGTGAATAATAATAATCTACGAGAAACCTGATCTTAGCTTGTAGTAGCGGAACCAGAAGCCATGTTCATTTTTAATCACAGTTGGTGTCTTGTTGTGTTGCCTCTTGAACGGTAGACCGTTCACAATTTTTGTCTCATACTCGACTTAAAATTACAGATGTTGTATTGGTGTCTACTGGGCAGTATTGGAAAATAAGTACAACATCAACGCGCGATCTGGAAGCCTTTTAAGAAGTACGGACACAACAGGTGCATGGTTGAAGGGAAATCTGTGCCGTGTTATAATAACAGTACCTTAAAAGCGTGTGTCTGTACTTCTTAAAAGGCTTCCAGATCGCGCGTTGACGTTGTGCTTGTTTTCCAACCGGCAGTATGGGTATTGTAGCTGAATGTGCTAGAATATCATGTATCCCATCAATCCAAGAGGCACAGAGTCTGATTGACTAACAACTTTTAATTATATGGTCCAACCAAACTATTTAGTAAGCCTAGTCACGTTGAACCACTTAATTAAGACTCTAATATATAATATATATTATTATCGAAAATCTTACACTGTATAAATCATTTTTTACTTTTACTTATACATAATATTTGAAACCTCTCCATTTGTAATTTTTTGTAAAATTTTTACAGCCTTTATACACATGTGGAAGAGAGAAAGGAGCCGAGAGAGAAGATTGAGGTTTTAGTGCAATTTTTTTTTTTTTTTAGACTCAGTGTCCCACAAAAATAATTCATTTCTCATCAGTTACGCATGACATGCAACTGGTCTGATACGCGCTCACTCTTGCATTTGTTAACATATATCTTCCAATTTACCGCTTTCAGCCATCAATTCTTCAGGACAGAAACAACGAATATCCTCGAGATTAGAATAACACACTCTGGTTTTGTATTTTTATTTTTTGGTTTCCCACTCTTGCATAGTGACAGAATGATGGTCTATTGGTGGTGGCTGGAAAAAGCTAAGGGCCATCCATAGTGACAAAAAATGTAGAAGAGTGATTGCAACTGGAATGGTGAAAAAATGATGAACGAACAGCTTTGAGGAAATGGACACCACAGCACAAGTAGGGCGGGAATGTGCGATGTGAAGCTGAAGGTACAAACAAAACGTCATCATGGGATTTATCATTCGCTTTCTGCTAATTACAAATCATACAACTGTGTTGCCAATATTAGGAAAAAATATATAATGTGCGTATAACTTAATCTTTTATTTTGCAGTGAAGGGTACGATGTATATATGTTTGTGGACTTTAATTATAGTCAGTCAGGTACTACGTCGTGTACAGTCCAAATCTAACGACTCCTGTTACAAGATTCCATTTCCCATTGCTGGATTTCATGGAAATTGGAAACTAATGGTATTTTGTTTTAAAAAAGTTTTTTTGACAAGAATTTGACGGAGAGTATATTGACAAGAATTAAACTCCTGATTTTTTATTATGAGAATCATGTTTCACACACTCAATCACCCTTTTCGAGACAAAATAAAAAATCTTATTTAATTGTTTGATTTGTCAACGGAACATATTTCAATAATTTATTTTAATACTTGGTTTATTTAATGAATAAAAATTCAATATCCTATATAAAAATTAAGTGGATTAAAAGCCATTAAGTCATTAACCCACCCACCAGGCACCAACCCCTTCATAAAATGGTTGAAAATGTTGTTTTGGAGTGTACATTGGTATGGAAAAATAGTGAATAAATTAGTTAGCGCAGTTTAATCAGGAAAGAAAAATTCAAAGCATAAATGCAAGGACTATATGCAGCAGAAAAAAAGTACAACGTTAAAAGCAGAAGCTAAAGGGTATATTTATGTGATTACAGTCAAAGGGCAGCGCCCTTATACAATATAACATCAAATCACCTACAGTTCTAGTTCTAGTAATATGTGTTGTCCTAGGTTATTAATGGTATTTGCAAAATAAAATTAATATATAAATATAAATAAAGTAAGTCAGCTCCTTAAAATCATCAAACTGTTCTGACCATCTAAAAATATGTCATACCTTTTCCACTTTTTTACTGTACCCATGTTTTACCTCCGTAAAAAAATAATATACCTAATTAAAAAATCTTCATTTAACTCTCTTGATTTGGCATAAAAATATACTTACATAATTAAGCTCAAATATGCCTAT